GAACACGATGCCCACATTCCCAATAGGTAGTGTGGGTGGTTTTTGGTCTTTCACTGAGTTATGGATATTTGTCATGGTTTAGGGGGACTGGTTACAAGCTGTTATTTGGTCAAGAAAAAAAAAGCTAAACAATAGAAATTAGATTTAAGGTTCTTGTTTTGAAAGAAAAAAAGGGGATATAGATATGATAGGATAAAAGGGTAGATTATTGGATCTACTCTGGAAAAAAAGGGAGGATATTGACATAAGATAAAAAGGTAGATTATTGAATCTACTTCTAGAAAGCAACTACTAGCCTTAAATGTTTTACATTGGATTGGACTTTTGTATATTGATATAAATTTGAAACTAATTTTGTTAGAACATACTATACATACATTTCTACTCTTGTTCAAGTATTGTACCTATACAATTCATTTAATAATATAATGCAAATTTCTAGACCTTGAAAATTATTATTATTATTAACTGTTTAGGATAATAAGAAAATGCAGGTTAGTAGTTATATTATAAATGAACTTGTAGTCACATTAGGTATGTTTTCAAGGTCAAACAAAGATGTATTTTAGATAGAGAGGTCATCATAAAACACTTCAGAGGTCTACAAAATAGGGTTTTAATAACATAGGCTTTTTATGACAATGAAACATGTCTGCTCCTGGTAATACCAATCTACTTCAGAGAAGATGAAGGGCATTGAAGAAACTCCACATAGTTTACTTTCTTTGTGCCACTGGGCAAGAAAGTGTGCTTGCGTCAACTGCTGACAGTATGCTGTCTTAATGGGACAAGCAGGACACAACAGAGAGTGACTGTCAAATCTTATAAAGACAAGGTAGGCCAGTCCTTCAAAACCCTGCTTCACCCACTTGTTTCTTAGGTCTATTTGATTGGAACATCTTTTCCCAACCCCTTACTCTTAGATAATGTCTGTCTTTGAGGTTGAGGTGTTTCTGGTATACAGCAGAAGGATGAATTGTAGCTACCAAAGTTTCTTCCCTTCTCTCCTGGCGATTCGCAGGGCCATGTGACCTCCGACTTCCTGGAGACTCTGCACTAGCTCTGGCTTGAGGGGATAACCTAGCTAGAACCTGGTTCTCTTTGTTATGGTGATTCCACTTGTATTCAAGGTCTTAGCAGTGGGCCGATAGCCTGCCTCCCCTAGCTGACCCTGCCCGAGGCGCCGGGAAGGCTTTAATCTTCCCTACTGCTCCTGGTTGGGAGGAGGCCTTGCATTTTCGGTTCTTCTAGCCCACTGGTATAAATACCTGACTTGAGTTTAATAAAGTGGCCATTTACTCTTGTGAATGAGCAAAGGTTTCTTTTGTGTATGTCTCTTTTTCAACCCTCAGGACAATCGTCCCTTCTCGTGGGCCCGAGTTCAGGAAGCACGCAGCCTGGGTCGGGCGTGGGTATCCATTGGAAAGTGCAGACTCTTACAATGAATCCTGCTTTCATATTCATTCTGTTAGCCTGTATTTTATAGGTGAATTGACTCCATTGACATTAAGAGACATTAATGATCAATGATTGTTAATTCCTGTTATTTTTCAGTGGTAGTGTTTGTGTGTTTCTCTTGTTTGGGGTTTGCTGGTGTGAGGCTCTGTTGTCTGTGGAATTTTCCTTCTAGTACTTTCTGTAAGGCTGGATTTGTGGATAGGTACTGTTTAAATCTTGTTTTGTCATGAAATATCTTGTTTTCTCCGTCTATGCTGATTGAAAGCTTTGCTGGATATAGTAGTCTGGACTGGCATCCATGGTGTCTTTGTGTTTGCATGACATCTGTCCAGGACCTTCTAGCTTTCAGAGTTTCCATTGAGAAGTTGGATATAATTTTGAAAGGTCTGTCATTATATATATTACTTGGCCTTTTTACTTTGTGGTTCTTAATATTCTTTATTCTGCATGTTTAGTGTTTTGATTATTATATGGCAAATGGACTTTTTTTGGTTCAGTCTATCTGGTGTTCTGTAAGCTTCTTGCACATTTATAGGAATATCCTTCTTTAGGTTGGGAAAGTTTTCTTCTATAATTTTGTTGAATATATTTTCTGTACCTTTGATCCTCTTCTATCACTATTTTTCAAGATGGGACAGTCCTTCAAAAATCCTGATTCATAGAAAAGTCTGCCTAATATTCGAGGCCTTTAGACTGAGGATGGATACCCCAACATTACAGAAGAACTCTGGATGACTGTCCAGGGAGCCAGTTGTTTCTGTCATTTCTCACATTTTTTGGAAATTGGTTACTTGTACTTCCTTGTACTTCCTGCTTACTCAGTTAATATCATTTCCTTCCCAGGTCTCTGAGGTAGTTGAAAACTAGATGGTTATAGTGAAAGTTTTCCATGTTTACCAAATGCATAAAAGAAACTCACTAAAGAGGTGTAAAGTGTGTAAGGTTGAGAGATATGAAAAGATAGTTTTAGATGGTTACACAAGTTATGATAGAAAGCAAGTTAGGTACAAGACTTTGAACTCAGCAAAATAGGATAGATATGGAGTATTTTCTCTAAATTTGTCAAATGCAAATGGACTAGACATTGTTGATATATTTATTGCCTGTATATTTTATATACAATTATATGCAATAAGTACAATCTATCTATATATATATAGTATATACAATTATTGCATATAATTTTCTCATATTAGCTATAGCTTTCTTTTTATTTAGAGAAAAATGGAATATATAGTGGCATAGTATTTGTTTTTTAATAAATAAAGCTTGCCTGAAGATCAGAATGCAAAGCAGCCACACTAGTCAGCCATATAGCACAGGCAGTGGAGGCACACAGCTTTAATCCCAGCTCCACACTAGTTAGCCATACAGGCTGGGCAGTGGTGGAACATGCCTTTAATCCCAGCACTAGAGAGGAATATGAAACAGGAGGAGACAGATCTCATGTTCAGTCTCAGTTTGAAGATTCATGGATACAGGATTGTCCATTTCGGACTGAGGTAGAGGTTAAGAGCCAGTGGCTAATTGTTTTGCTTTTCTGATCTTCAGGCCGAACCCCAATATCTGTCTATGGGTTTTTATTATTCATGCTATACTGAGGTTTAGGTCTCAGAATTCACAAGTGGGCTCACAACTACTCTTCTGACTTGGGCACTTGCATATAAATGGTACAACTACAGGCATGCAGGCAAAACACTCACATAAAAAAAATAAAAATAAATACAATACTTCCAAAAAAAGACAGCTAATATGGAAAGGATTTTCAATGTTCCTAACACAAAAATGTTTGAGGTTGTATGCAAGCTAATTACCCTCATCTGGTCATTACATATTGGACAAAATGGTTCTAAAATAATACATCATACACCAAAGTGCATAATTCCTATATAAAGAAAAAACTAGCAAATAAAATCAGTTACTAAGTAATAAATAAATAATAAAATAAAATTACTTGTATCTCTAAGTCTTTAGGTACCAACAATTCTTTCCTTTCTCCCTGGTATTTACCTAAACACCTAAATGGCCTACTTAAGCCCCCAATCTAGAAAGACACAATCAACACTAAGAAGAACACTGTTCTCAATTTCAAGTTCTTTATTTGATAATAATTTAAAGTGAGTTTTAGCATGGAACTTTTATGTGTCAGTTCTTATACATTGCCACTTGACTCAGGTTACTTTGTGGTTTTAAACTAAGGGAACAGGGATGTGTTTAAATTTTAACTCTTGCTAAAATACACCACTTAACAAAAATGTATGAGTTCAGTCAATCTTGTTTTCAGATTATAGCGTGCCTGGGGAGTCCACTAAAATTAAATATACCCCAAAAGTCTCAAGCAAATGAATAAACACAGACGAAAACAACAGACATGTTTTACTTGAACTCTGTTCTTGCTTAGATTCCCCACAGTCATAGCCTTCATTATAGAAAAACATTCCATATTGGACATAAAATAAAAACAAAGACATTCCCACTTCCTGGCTTGGTAAAATGGCAGCACAGATTCCCTAGTTCAATTACCAAGTCTGCAATTTTCAAACTATTTCCTTTGAAACAGTAGAAATCTGAAGTTTAAAAAAAGGCCACACCTATATCAAAGATTCTATAAGGCTAATTAGAATTCAATGAGTGCTGCAGATCTAGAGCAAAAGTCATCTGGGACTACATTTAGTCTCCTTAAAAACCATCTAATGCTACCTCTGTATCTGACGTAACATCATTTCAAATGTCAGGTACAACCTTTGGTCTGTATTCCTAGCAGAACACTAGCTTCCACCAGTCCAAAGGGTAACAACCTATTATAGCCTGGCTATAACCCATCTTTTACTTGGTAGTTCCACCAAGGTTTTCAAATTGCCTTGATTTATGACTTTTGGCCTATAACTACAAAAAGTTCACATTGCCAGGTCACCTATGCTTTTAATCCTAGCACTCAGAAGACAGGCCAAACTCTGTTCCAGGCCAACATGATCTACTTTGGGAGTTTCAGGCCAGCCAGAGATACACAGTGTTACTCTTGCTGTGTAGCCTGACTGGCAGAAAAATAAATGAAAAGAAAAACAAATCATGGAACCACTCCCACATTAGAACATGTTATTTAGGGCAACAAAATGTTCGCAGGTCATGCTCATTATTTGGTTTACAATCAACTCTTACTACCTTTGAGGTGAGAGGGGTTTTTTGTTTGTTTTTTGTTTGTTTGTTTGTTGTTGTTGTTGTTGTTGTTGTTGTTTGCATCAACAGAGCTCGCTCGGTGACACACACACACTTTTTTTTTTCTTCAGAAACAAACCAATCCCAGTACTTCAACAGTCTCCACCCTTTGACTCCTGTGGGCAGGGCCTAAGAAGTTCAGATGGCCAGAATGACTGAATACTGTTTTGCTTTCAGTACACACAGACAACTAAGAAAGCGGCTTCTTACCCCAAATGTAACTGAGCGTTGGAGACAAATAAGGGGCGTACGAAGAGGACGCCGTATTTCTGGAGATACATTTGTCTGTAAATATATAGGGTAGCAACGCTCTCAGCAGTTCTCACCTCGCGCTCACCTGAAGGCGCCGGATCCGCCAATGCGTGAGGACGCAGAACGGAACCCGCCGCGCGGCGGAGATACTGGTCGCGCTCGCGGGTCCGCAGAGGCCGAGGAAGCGCCGCCGCCGAGGGCCAAACCCGCCTCTCCCTGGCAGCCTACCGGGCACCACCTTTGCGGAGCAACGGAACTCCAACTCCCGAAGCTCCCGCCGGAAGAGATTGAAGGCAACACCGACAGCGCTTCCGCTTCCGGCTTCCGGCCAGAGAAGCGATTCCGGCTCCTGCTCAGGCGGTTTGGGAGACTTTTTTTTTTTCTTGGCATCACCAAGGCCTCACCCAGATTGGCGCCACTGAGACGGAAAAAGAACTACGCGACCCAAACCTGGGCGTAAGAGACCGCGGAGGGCGAGTAATGTCACTTCCGCTTCCGACCCCAGTCTCAGGCTGCAGTTGCCTCAGTTTACCCGGAGACCGAGTTTACGCCACTTCGGGCAGGGAAATCACAGTCTTTAGAGTTTCGGCTGGCCTGACGGCAGAATCAGGCTCACTAGCCTTGTTTAGGCGACAAGCAGGCCAAGAGAGGATGCCTGGACACCGGACCTGTCAGAGCGCTCAGGAGTTGTTCTTCTTAGAGGCTGAGTTTCAGTCCCACTGTACTCATTTAAGTATACAGGTACTTGTTTCTCCACAAGATCCAGTTAAAGAGTGGAGGGAGAGAGAGTATGAGCAAAGAATTCAAGACCATGAAGGGGTCATCCACTGAGACAGTTTGCTTGAGCTAATGGCTCACCAACTCCAACTGGACTGGGAGTGAACGAGAGCATGGGAACAACCAAGCCCCTCTGAAGGGGACTGACAACTGGGGCAGACTGAGGGGACTCTGATAGTGACACTGTGATGTGTCTCTACTTGCATACACTAGTTTCATGGGATCCTGTTCTCTTTGGATGTAAATCTTGCTCAACCTAGATAAAGTAGGGAGGGCCTTGGACTTTCCACAGGGAGGGGTGCGTGACACTCCCTTAGAGTTGGAGGGGTGGGTGAGGGTCTGTGGAGGGAGAGGGAGGGGACTGGAGGAGGGGAGGGAGTGGGTATTTGGACTGGTATTTTTTGAGTAATAAGAAAAGGAAAAAAGAAGCAAACTCACGCAGGAGAAGTAGACAGCAGGAAATAATCAAATTCAGGGCTGAAATCAGTAAAATTGAAACAAAGAGAACGATACAAAGAAATAATGAAACAAAGAATTGGTTCTACAAAGAAATCAACAAGATAGACAAACCCTTATCCAAACTAACCGAAAGCAAGAGAAAGAATATCACAATTAACAAAATCAGAAACAAAAAGGGGGTCATAACAGACTCTGACAAAATTTAGAGAATCATTAGGTCATACTTCAAAAACCTGTATTCTGCAAAATTGGAAAATCAAAAACAAATGAATAACTTTCTCGACAGGTCCTACATACCAAAATTAAGTGAAGACAAGATAAACTATTAATAGAAATAGAAACAGTTGTTAAAAGTCTCCCAATTCAAAAAAAAAAAAAAAAGCCCAGGACCAGATAGTTTCAATGCATAATTCTATCATAACTTCAAAGAATAACTAATACCAATATTCCACAAATTGTTCCACACAATACAAATAGAAATATTATTGTCAAATTCTTTATATGAGGCCACAGTTACCCTGATACCTAAACCAAACAAACTTGCAACAAAGAATTACAGACCAAACTCCCTCATAAACATTAACGCAAAAAATACTCAATAAAATCTGAGAACACATTTTATTATCCAACGTGATCAAGTAGACTTTATCCCAGAGATGCAGGGATGGTTCAACATTCAAAATCTGTCAATGTAATCCACCACATTACAAATGGAAAGAAAAAAAAAAAACATGATCATCTCATTAGATGCTTAAAAAAAAAGTCTTTGACAAAATTCAACACATCTTTCATGGTAAAGGTCTTGTAAAGATCAGGAATACAAGGAACTTACCTGAACATAATAAAGGCAATATACAATAAGTTGACAGCCAACATCAAATTAAATAAAGAGAAAAAGCGATTCCACTAAAATCGGACAAGATTCACCACTCTCTCCATATTTGTCCAATATAATCTCAAGGTTCTAACTATAGCAATAAGGCAACAAAAAGACATCAAAGGGATACTAATTGGAAACGAAGAGCCTAACTTTCCCTACTTGCAGATAATATGACAGTATACATAAGTGACTCCCAAAATTCTACCAGTGAACTCCCACAGCTGATAAATACCTTCAATAATGTGACCAGGTACAAGATTAACTCAACAAAATCAAATCAGTAGCCTTCCTATATTAAAATGATAATTGCATTGAGAAAGAAATAAGAGAAACAACACCCTTTATAATAGTCAAAAATAATATAAAATTTCATGGGGTAACTCTAACCAAAACAAGTGAAAAACTTATATAAACAAGAATTTTAAGTCTTTAAAAAAAGATAGGGAAGAGATCAGAAAACAGAAAGATCTCCCATGCTCATGGATCAGTAGGATTAACATAGTAAAAATGGCAATATTGCTTAAAAAAATAATTTACAGATTCAATGCAATCCCCATCAAAATCTCAACACAATTCTTCACAGACCTTACAAGGATAATACTCAACTTTATATGGAAAAACAAATAAGCAAGGATAGCTAAAATAATCCTGTACAATAAAGGAACTTCTGGGCTGGAGAGATGGCTCAGTGGTTAAGAGCACTGCCTGCTCTTCCAAAGGTCCTGAGTTCAATTCCTGGCAACCACATGGCGGCTCACAACCATCTGTAATGAGGTCTGGTGCCCTCTTCTGGCCTGCAGACATACACACAGACAGAATATTGTATACATAATAAATAAATAAATATAAAAATAATAGTATCCTTTTAAAAAATAAAAAAAAAATAAAGGAACTTCTGGAGGTATTACCCTCCCTGACTTCAAGCTCTACTATAGAGCTATTGTTCTTAAAATAACTTGGTAATGGCATAAAAAATGTGCATCAAAGGAATCACATTGAAAAGCCTGACATGAATCACCACACCTATAAACACCTGATTCTTGACAAAGAATCCAAAAATATACAATGAAAAAACGAAAGCACCTTTAACAAATGGCATGACTGGATGGCAGCATGTAGAAGTATACAAATATATGCATATCTAATGCCCTGTACAAAGCTCAAGTAAGTCCAAGTGGATCAAAGACCTCAACATAAACCCAGTTGAACTGAAGCTGATAAAAGAAAGTGGGAAGTAACCTTGAATGCACTGGCACGGGAGACCACTTCCTGAATATGCTCTCAGGAGCACAGACACTGAGACTGACAACTAATAAATGGGACCTCATGAAACTGAGAAGTTTTGGTAGGGCAAAGGACACTGTCAATAAGATGAAACTGCCACCTCCAGAATGGGAAAAGATCTTGACCAACCCCACATCTGACAGAGAGTTGATCTCCACAATATAAAAAGAACTCAAGAAACTAGACATCAAAATATCAAATAATCCAATTTTCAAATGGGGTACAAATCTAAACAGAATTCACAACAGAAGAATCCCAAAAGGCACTACTTATGGAATTGCTCAATATCCTTAGCCATCAAGGAAATGCAAATCAAATGACTCTGAGATTCTATCTTACACCTGTCAGAATGGTTAAGATCAAAAACACTGATTTTGGGACTTAACAGCTGCAGGACTGGGCAGGACAGAAACTTCAGACAACAGAATGGCTAACTAAATCCACTTTTAAAAAAAAAGAAAAAAAAGAGAGAGTTTGGGAAATAATTCTAGACAGAAAAGGATAGAGTTAAGCATGGCTTATTGATAGCAGCACTTTCTCAGGTGGACTCCACTTGCTAGAGGCAAGTGCTTTCCTTTAAGAGAGGCTTCCTGACTCAGCTTGAGCTGTAAAACCCTGCAGCTTTTCTAAGGGGTCCTGCCACAAAACACTTAAATGGTGTTGATGAAAAGCTGACAGCATACTTTTTGGTGGTGGCAGAGACCTTGAAATGCCCTAGAGTTGTGACAATAACATGGCTCTGGCCAGTATCTCTGCCATGAGACTAGACTCTCAGGGAAAAAAAAGCTAAGGAATGGGCTGGATCCAGTCATCAAAGCCACAGCTTTAATCCTAGCCATATAGCTTAGCAAATTAAAAACTCATGTGGTCAGAAAAAGAGAGCTATACAATAAAGATAGATTCAAAAATGAAGAAAACCTCAAAATGGTTTACTATGTGTTTAAAAATATACGTAGGCTTGGGAGGCAAAAAAAGGATAAAGTCCTTAAAATAAAAAAAGAGAGTAGTTGAGTGTGATGGCACACACCTTTAATCTCAACACTTGGGAGGCAGAGGCAGGTGGATCTCTGTGAGTTCAAGAACAACCTGGTCTACAGAGTGAATTCCAGGAGAGCTAAAGATACACAGAAAGCCTGTCTCAAAAAGCTAAAAATTAAAAATAAAAATAAAACAAATAGAGGTTAAAATAAAGCCATGTAAAGATGAAAAATTCATAGAGAATCTGGACACTGTATGTTATTATGTTGTCTTTAAATTTTTTGATGACTGAGGAAGGAGCAAAAGCTGCTAAAAGACATTTGATTTTAAATGTTGCTGGATTAATCCAATATGTATATTTTGAAAATGCTTTGACGTTAAAATTTAAGTCAAAAGATATGTCACTTTGGAATAGAGGTTCTGATTTTGTTTCCACAGGAAATGAGGGACTGTGGATTCATTCTGCATTAAGAAAAATCAGGTTTAACCAAGGAAGACCCCCCCAAGAAATCTCCAATAGGAGGAATGGCCCAGATGTCTGAGTTCTACATCCAGAACAGTTCAAAGACTGCTTCCTGAGATGATCAAGCCCCACAGGATACTCCAGACAGGATTTGATCATAATTCTAACTTTTCTTTAGGTTCCCCATAAGAATATCAGTGCCCCCAGTCAGCAGAAAGTAGCCTGGAAAACTACACCCACATTCCCCAAAAAAATGGATTATGGATGTTTGCCTATGTTTAGAATGTTGGTTACAAGTTGTTATGGATAATGGTCAGTAGAAAAGCTAAACAAAGGAGATTCAATTCAGAGTTCTTGTTTAAAAGGGGGGGAGGTGCTGTGGGACAATGGTCTGTACCCTGAAACTTGTATTTTAAATAAATGCTGATTGGCTAGTAGCCAGGCAGGAAGTATAGCTGGG